AGGAAAACGCTTCGAACGCCTCTCGGCGCTCTGCATGGTCTCTACGTACTGATCGTACGGAAGGCTGAAGAGAGAGTCGTTTAACTCCTCGAGCTTCTGCCTGAGCGACTGTCGGAGACCGCGATGCAGCGTTGTGACGCGGGAGATATCTGGCCACGAGGAAGCCTTTGCTTCAAACGATAGCCGCTCGAATCGCGCAAGGTAGGCGATTAGCGACTCATCGTCCCTCTGGCGGATCTGGTAGGCGCACTCGGACTCGCGTCTGAGCGTCGTTCGGGTGCTGGCGGGACTGAAGCTGGAGCTGGAGCTGGGCGACGCTGTCGCGCAGGGAGGTAATCTCTGATCGCTGGTTCTGGAGCTCTTGCTGGAGCTGCTGTACCAGCAGCAGAAGAGCGTTCTGGTTCTGGCTGGGGCTGGACATAGTTCTGGTGGATAGTAAAAAATTTTCTGGCGAGGGCTAGACGCTTGTCTAATCTCTTAGCTAGCTGGTGATCGAATACAAAATGTAAGGGGCTCGACCCCGGAGGGTAGTCTTAAGCTCGGGAGCACGATCGGACAGGCCAAGGTAACAAGATTGTATTCGATAGAGAGCTAAGCTCTCGGCTACGTAGCTATCTATATACAATGCTGGTTGCTAGGGTAACAATCAGGCCGGGCAGGTGGAGTAAACGAGGTCGTAGACGAGTATGGGAGGCGAAGGGCGTTCAGCCCGTTACAGTTATTAATTATAGCATTAGAAGAATATAGAAAAAAGAAGTAAATATAGCTAAGCAACTATAAGTAGGTTACTATAATCTAAGGCGTAGGCGCGTTAGGTTGCTAAATACTACCTTTTGTTATCTTTATAAGTAAGGTGCTTATTAACGTCTAGTTTAAGAATTTACCTGCTAACTAGGTTCTTAAAGTTAGTTCTAATAGCTAGACGAATAATTAGCTTAGTCTTGCCTAGTTAGAGCACTTTAATACCTATATAAAGAGCTCTACTATAGGTAGGTATTAACTACCTATTATTAATAGCTATAAGAGCTACTACTCTATTAATTTCTAAGATCTTTGTAAGAAGAAGAATATTATGCTTCCCTACATGCCTACGCACTTATCTTACCTATTACAGCCCCTTAACGTCGCCTACTTCTCGCTATTAAAGCGTAAGTATAGCAACGCTATTTTAGGCTTAGCACGCAACTACACCTACTGTATTAGCAAAGAGACCTTCCTACTAGCCTTTTAGACTGCTTTTAAGTAGTCTATTATAAAGGAGAATATCTAAGCTAGCTTTAGAGGCGCTAGTCTAATCCTACACAACTTATAGGCTATGCTATCTAAGCTTAATATAGTGGTGTAGATACCTATATAATTACCACAATAGGTAGCCGCCTAGTAGGCGCAGACACCACGCAACGCGCGCAAAGTTAAGTCTTAAATTAGTCTTATTTAAGAGAGCGTAAGAAAACGCTATAGGTCTTTTACTAATTCACTTACTAAGTAGATTACGTAGCTAAGTAAGGGGGCCTAGCAATTAGCATATAAAATAACACTTATAATAGAGGAAATAGGTACGCTTTAAGTGGCTCTTAATAAGTTAAATAAGCGTAAAAGCTATAAGCAGCAATACATATAGATAGAAGAGACTCTTACTATAGGCAAAGTACAAAAAGTATTAGCTAAATAGGCGAGTAGTAGTTGTAGTAATAGTAAGAGTGCGTTAAAGAGGGTGCAAGGAGAGCGGTAGTGCGGGCGTTGTAAGTAGACTAGACATAACGCTTATACTTGCGTAGTTAAGATAAATAGTGTAAGTAATAACGTATTCCACCACCGAGAGTGCCACCCCACCGAGAGTGCCACTTTTTCTTGGCATCGCGAACTTCACGTACGAAAGACAATGCCTCAACAACAGAACGTGATATTTACTCAGCAAGAGGGTAGGCTTACTCTAGCAGTTCAGGCCTATCGTACAGGCCAGTTTAAGAGCATTCGACGCGCTGCAGCAGCCTATAACGTCCATCATCAGCAGATCTCTCGGCGGCTTCAAGGAATCACCTTTCGACCTACGACGCAGCCAAATTGCCAGAAGCTAACTAAATCTGAAGAGCAAACTATCGTACGATACATTCTTGACCTAGACTCGCGAGGATTTGCCCCCCGTCTATGTGAAGTAGCAGATATGGCAGAAAAACTACTACGCGTACGAGATGGCCAGCCTTTAGGCAAGAACTGGCCAGAGCGGTTCGTATCGCGTAC